GTGTATTCCACCCAAGAAGAACACTCATAAAAAGAAGGAAAAGCAATGCTTTAAAAACCCTTGTTTCCCCCGTTAACATACACTCAAAAAAAAAAGAAAACAAATTTTCATATGATTCACCAACTTCTGTTATTGCAGTCATTGTGATCAAGTAATACGGAACATCACAATGACATTGATCAAAAACAGGCGAGGGATCATATATAACTCAATAAAGCAATTTAATTAAAGCCCAAAGGAAATTAAAGTGATGTGTAGAAACAAAACAAAAAAAAAGAAAACGAATTATCGCGTTCCACACAAATGTATATAAGAGGCTGAGCTCATGGAGCCATTATCATAGAGAGTGACAAGAAAACAAACATAACACTCGCAAAAGCGGAAGCTTTAAAAGAACCATCAGTGCCTTTTTTCGCAGCAGCATTATTATTCTGCCCACTCACAGATGAGGTATTGTTTTCTTCCTTAGTTTCGCTGGGTTTTGATTCTGTGGTTGTACCTGCCCCATTTTGTACCACCGGTGCAGCAACTTCCTGGTTAACAGAATTGTTACTTGTACCAGCACTTTCACTTGGTTTTGCACCAGCACTTTCAGGTGGTTTTGCGGTTTCAGTGGCCTCAGTGGATTCTGGTTGACTTGTTTGGACTTCTTCAACAATGTCTGGGTCTTTTGATGGACCTTCCGATTCATCCAGAGTTTTGTTGATTGTATTGCACACATCAGCGTATTTGGGGCACACAATGTTACCCTGGAGTACAGTCCCATTCACAGTTAGATTCTTTCCTTCAGGACAACTGTGCCACTCCTTGTTTCCACTGTACCGTACAATTACCTTTTTGAACTTGCAAGACACCTCCACACACACGGCACCAATTGCTGCATTGTTAGCCTTTAGATCCTTACCCTCCACACAACGGGAGTTGTTAGCAATTACACTTCCAGGCATGTTATTACTCTCCTCACCATTGATGCAGCTGTAACCTTTCTTTGCCATAATAAAAGGACAGTAATCCATTTGAGCTGCTTCTGAACCAACCTTATTCTGCTCAGAAAAGTATCGGAATTCCTCTGGAACGTCATTCCCATCGGTTTTTGTTGTGATGCTGCAACTCCCCAGTGACTGGCGGTCAGATGTGCACTGTAGTCCTGCAGGAAGACTAGCAGGTTCGGTTGTGCAGAACATATCAGGGAATTTAGTCCTGCCTTCCTTCACACATTTATCCTCCAGCAATTCACACCCAGAGTTATTGCCCCAACTCATCTGCTCTGCCCTTTTCCAATTAACCTTGTAGTAGCCCAGATCAGCGAAAACTCCCATTGTAATTGCGGTGTAGTACCCAGCACCGACGACACCAACCATTAACTCATCCTTTGCGTTGCGTCGACTCCAATGTGACCGTGTAATTATTTCATTTCCGTTTGGAGGAAATTGAAATGTCTCAACAATACACATTTTACCCGTCGCAGTTTCCACTTTTTTATCATCAGTGCATTCGCTCGGGGTTTCAGATGCGGCCACTGCAGCTTGAACGTGTAGTGAACGTCTTTTCGAGAAGTCATTTGATGAATGATGTACATTCTGTGTAAACTTGGCAGCACTGGAACCCTCTTCTCCACGTCTCTCTTGCACATCACTGCCAACAGACTCCTCCCCTGTCAAACGACCATCAATAACATTACTGTGTGATTCTCCTAGCTCATATTCCTCTTGTACACTTGCAGTCAGAGCGAGTATCGCCGTTGCTGTAGGTCCTTGTAAACCTGTTCCTTGTTCATTCGTTCTGGCACCATTTGCTGCAGGATGTGGTCGTCTTATCACACTTAGTTCCATACCCTTTGTAGAATTACAGTTGTAATGCTTCACAACCTCTCTCAGTGTGTTTTCAGAGGCAACAAGCGCAAGGTGTGATTTACCACGCAACTCAACATCTCTACGCACCATACTTTTTCTTTCCATCAACTGCGAATTGAAACCAAGTGCATGAGCAATCTCATGAGCAGCAACGCGGACACGCTGTGGTGTGGCCACAATATACCGTGGACCGTAATTGATGATTCCAATAACTGGACGGCCATCATGACCCAATGTCGCACATGTTGCCGCCCACGCGAATGCACCATTAGTTGTCGGTGTTGCAGCAGCAAACAGCACCATGTCATAACCGGAAACACTCCTGGTTTTATGATCTTTCGGTATGAACCTGAAACAAAGACCTTTGGGATCGGAGAACTCCGGCACGACAATAGGATCCTTCAAAGGCTGAACAAAAAGACGTTCCTTATGCAGTTCAATTGCCTCAGGAAGAATCTCGTTAATAAGAATATTCTCCTTCTCTGGCGTCAACTCATCATAATCTGTGCAAGTATAATTTTCCTCCAATAAGGTTGTAATATTATTATTTTTTTTGCCAGTACAATCATGTCCAACCCTCATCAAATGATCAGTGACAAGTTTAATGCGAATCGGTTTCCATTCTTCCCCAATACGTTCTTCTCTGAAAGCAGGGGTCTTGTTTCTCACAGTTCGCGACAATCCGAAATCCCTTTTAGCGCTCAAGATTGTCATTTGATTTGATTCGCGAGCCTTTTTATGATCAGCACCAACATGCATCACCACTCTGTCGTGCATGCAGCGGTGGTGCTCTGTCACAGCAAGAGTGACAAGGGTGCAGTACAGAAGGAGCAACGGAGCAAACAAGAAGAGACGCCGCATTCCTTCACGTGTAATCTTGAAGGGTTTGTGTATTTGTGTGTCTATGTATGCAGAAGAGAAGAAAAAGAAACATTGGCAACAGAAAATCAAATGCAGGATTGTCAAGCATAGAAGGAAAATGAAGGAGGAAATGGGAAACCATAACCCCACCCATAAAAAAAGAAAAAGAGAGACACACATGAAAGTAACAGAGAGCCACTGTCAAGCAGACTGTGGATACGCA